AGCTCCGTCCTCCTCAGCGCCGCTTTGCTGGGAGATGGGAGGCACCTCCCAGCACCGGGGTGTTTTTTGGGCTCTATTCTAATGGTAAGTGCTGGTTTTTGGGGTCGCCGCGTCCTTTTCTACCCAGCAAAGCGCTGCGCCAGGCGCCCGGGACGGCGTTCCCTCCTGGTCACGGTGCTGCTCTGGCTTTCTTGAGGCTCCGGTGGCTCTGCCGCCACCGTTCCCGCTTGCACGTCAGCGCCGGGGACCAGCCGGCGGGAATACGCAGCTCCGGGGGCTTTTTCCTTGCAGTGCTTCCTTCCCTGCATGGCTTCTGCAGGATGCAACCCAGGCGCTGGCCGGGCTGAGCGCTGCTAGCTCCCCATCGATGGCTGAGGATGAGGAGGGGATGAGGCAGGCTGCAAATTTCAGGAGCAAGCCTGAAAAAGAGGAGGACCTTCCTGCGCAGGCAGCAGGTCGGGCTCTGGCAGCATTTGGGGCCTCCAAAGGCTCTGCTTTTCCCTCCTGCTTGAGCCCTGCCTGCTCCAGCCTCCTGAGCATCCCCTGCCCGCTGAGCTACGTCGTGATCCAGGGAAAAAAGGTGCATTAGGGAACAGGGCAATGAAATGGGGCAGTCGCCTCTCGGCTGCATCTCTCTACCCAGCTACAAACCTATTTTGTTGCAAGAAGAGGTTTGGTGTCTGAGCGACAGGCTCTGGCGTATTGTCTTCAGTGGCAGCCGATATACTTTCGGGTGAGGTTAAAAATAGCTTTTCTTTTTATTTTTTCAGGATGTGCAGAGAGCAGAGGCTCCTGCTCACATCCAAGGCGAGCGGCAGCTTCCCGCTGCGCGCCGGCCCGGGTACAGGGGATGGGGGGAGATGCTCTCAGGACACCAACGTGCTCAGCGGGCACCGCTCGGTGCTGTCACCACCAGTGACACCCCAGAGCCACCCCGCTTGTTAAAATAGGTGCAAAAAACGGGGTTCCCCAAGGCTGGTTGCTCTGTGTTATGTAACGATGGGGGTTGGTGCATGAGAAAGGATCCGGGGTGGCGACTGCACTTGGAAAGCTGCCCCTTCCTCAATACTTGCCAAGCACCTGAGATGCCACCGTCCCTGCAAGCCCAGAGCCCCTTGCTTGGTGTTTCCCCACCGTGTGCTGAGCTCTCCCCCAGCTCCCATGGACGTGAGCACATCCTCGTGTTCCCGCATGTTTTGATTCCCTGCCGGAGGTGGCTCGGTCCCTCCTCGCCTTGCAGTCCCGGGGCTCCCTGGGGAGCACAGGGCCTTGTGGCAGTCAGGGGAGCGTGGTGGCCCCGTGAGATGTCACTACATGTGAAACAGGGACACGCGGCAGGTGGCCTCTGCTTGCCGCTGCCTTGACTTTTGCAAGTCCTGTTAAGTAAGAGCTGTCCCTGCAGCATATAGGCCAGGGACGAGGACAACGACCGGGTAGTACCCAGGGGTTCGGATTCATCCTTTGATCCGACAAGCTTTCCCGGTGCTCCTGCTCTTCCCTTTCATCTGCGCTCGCCGGAGGTGCCCGCTGACCTCTCCTCCGTGTTCCCGTGCCCCAGGCCCTGCTCTCCGGAGGCGCCGGGCTCTGCCGGATCCTTTCTTCTCCCCAGCAGGCAGGAACCTGCCGCAGGGTTGTATTTTCTGCGCCTGGGACCGCTGGGAGTGCCGAATTTTTGTGCATACGGAGAGGGGAAAAAGCTCTGGCAAGGCAAACGCGGTGCGAGTTCTGTTTCTGAGCGTTCTGGCTTGAAACCCTGCTTCGGTGCCCCGATGTCCTTAGGGAGACCCTCGAGGACATCTCTTTTAATCTTGGCAGCCAGCGTGTTTGCAGGGCTGACATATTCTCCCCATCTGAAAAATAATGTGCGTTATTGCCTGCTGATCTGGAGGTTTGTAGGGGCTCCGGCTCCCGAGGAGCCCCTGGGATCTGGCTTGGACAGTTGTGTCCAGGAGCAGCTGGTGGCTTCCTGGCCGTGCCGGGGCTCCGCTGGCGACCGCCGCGTGCCAACGTCGCTGCTTGTCCCCTGCTCCTGCCCTCCACGGGCCCCTGGCCCAGCCTGCAGGATGCCCCGGCCAGCTTGGTTCCGGGCGCATCCCGGGAAAACGCGGCCTGCTCTGCATCCCCTATGGAGAGCTCATGGAGAGTCCCCTTGGCTGCGGGGACGGTGTCAACCCCGCGGAGCACCCGCAAGCTCCGTGGCCACGGGGGGGACTCCAGCCTGGGAAGCCCCCGTGTGCCCGGCCTTGCAGGGGAGATGCCAGCGCTTGGCTCCTCGCGCGTCTTAGTGGCTCCAGTGAGACCAGCCTGCGTTTCCGAGCTCTTTTTTTGTTTGTTTTTTGCTTGGGAATCATCAACATCCAGCATTTAGCGGCATGTGCGGGACGGCTCCGCGGGGCCGATAAACACGTCTGCCTCCCGCAGCAGCACCAGGGCTGGTGAGATCCTCCCTGCCCTTATCAGCGTGGGGCAGAGGGGGCTCCTCCCTGGGCGGGAGCGGCTCTGCCGGGGCAGATTAGAGCAGGACCACAGCCAGGAGACCAGCAGAGGATTGCGGAGCTGCAGAAACCCACCCGCAGCTGGTTGGTTTCCCAAAAAGGGAGATTCTGGCAGCAATTTCCCTTTGCACGTTGCTTTAGACGCAGCCACGACGCAAGGGGCTCCACAGGGCCCCTTCCCCTATTTCGGGGGGAAGGGGAGCCAGGGCCACGTGTGGCAGCGGTGACGCTTTGCGGAGCAGGGCTGCACGAGCAGGGCGGCATCTGTGACTCGGGATGGAGGAAGCCTCGAATTAGGGCAAGGAGGGAGTCAAGGGAAAATCTGGATTGTCGGGAGACAAGGAGTGCAGTTTCCTGAAAGAAAAGAAAGGGAAGGAGACTAGAAGCACAGCCTGATGTGCCCTGTTTTGGTTTGTACTTTGGATAGTCTTGAAGCACTTTGCAAATGACAAACCGGGGGCTTTTCCCCCTGGGAATGGCTGGGAACAGCATGCTGCCCCCTCATGGCACCTGCGTGGGGGATGCAAGGGGCAAATGAGGGCAAGAAGGGCAGTTTGTCTTCTCCCCTGGGAATCACTCCTTCCTGGAAAAATTGCTAGGAAGGCAAAGGAGAAGAGAAACACGGTGAGCACCAAAGGCAGGAAAACCACTGGCCGCGTGCCACGTGGGTGCCCGGGTGCGCGTTTGGGTTGGCGCGTGCCGTGCCGGCTGCGCGGGCATCCTTCGACGTGCGCATCCCGCGTGCGGAGGGCGTCTCCGGTTCCGGCTCTTGCAGCTTCCTTTGGGTGCAACGTGGGAGGCGCCGGGGTCCCAGCTCAGTCCCCCTGGCTGATCGAGTGCCCCAGTGACAGGTCGGCGGTGGCGCTTGGTGTCAGCAGGGTTTACAGACCGATTTCCTCAGCTGATACCGCGTGAGACCGTCTCTGGCCGCACGCGCGGCCTTCCCGCTCGGATCTGGTGCCCTGCAGTGCTCCATGCATCCCCGATCCCGCGGAGCTGGAGGTCGCCTGGTCCTGGGCCCCCAAATCCAGCTGTGCTCTCCCGGCTCCCAAAATCCGGAGGACTGGGGGCACCTGGGGTCACCCGGGGGGTTCCGCGGGGCAGCTCGTCTCCGCTCTTCCTGCATCCCCGGGCGGCTCCCTGCGCTTGGCAGCCGTCATCTGCTTTCCGGAGGTGGCTGAGGATTAAATATCCCGTCTGACACAGTAATGGAGAGAAAATGAACAAATTCCATTAGCGGCTGGCGATCCCTCCAGGGTCCGCGCCGGAGCGAGGAGAGGGAGCCTGTATTTTTAGCCAGAATGCAATGTAACGTACTGGCTCTCTCAAAGCTGGGGAGTAGATAACCAAGGAGGGGGAGAGGGGACGCCGGGCTCAGGTTTCAGCCCGAGTGCCGGACTATGGCAGCACGAAAGGGCAGGTCCGGTCCAGACGTTGCTGTGAGTACACAACGCGCTTCTTGGCGCCCCGAGAGACCTCCCCTTGCTTTTCTGCTTGCTTTGTGCCTGTGGGCTCCGCTGCCGGGCGCGCCGGGGCTTCGGGAGCCCCTTTGCTGCCGGAGCCCGTGGGGTTCGCCCCGTTCCCCGGGCCCCGCGCCCGCCGCCAGCCCCTGCAGCCGGGCCGGGGCCGCGCTCCGTGTCCGGGCTCTTCCCGGGGCTCTGCCGGGGGTGGGAGCAAGCAGCAGGAGCAGGGCAGGAGGCAGGCGGAGAGCAGCGCCCCGCGTGCTGCCCCATTGCCCCCGTGCAATGAGCGGCGCTGGGGACAGGGGTGGCGGGTGACGCCGCGGTGCCCTCCCGCTATCCCGCCTTGCTGCTTCCAGCGCCTTTCCCAAGAGCTTATATCCCGGCATGGGCAGCACGAGGGGGTTTCCGGCTCCCCAGCGGGGTCTCCTCACGGGGCAGGCGCAGGGAGCTGCTGTCTGGGGATGCTCCCACTGCCGTGTGACGTTCCGGAGGGGCCAGGGACACGTCCTGGCGGCGTGTGGCATCGCCACGAGGCTGTCCCTGCGCTCGCAGCCCCGGGCGAGGGATGTGCAGGCCGGCGTGCAGCCGGGCTGCGGCTCTGCAGGCGCTGCAGAATCGGGGATTTAGCCCTGCTGCTGCGGCGAGAGGACCCGCTGCGTCTCCCCGCGGGGTTAAACGGGAACACGAAGCAATCCGGTGCTCCTGGCTGGGGACACCATGAGAAGGAGCATCCCTATGGCCCCCCTTCCCGTCCTCGGAGAGCCAGGTCGGGTGGGAGCCCTTGAGGAGGCAGGAGGTTCCTGCTGGGGACGAACGAGGTGGCTCCGAATCTCACCTTTTTTCTTCCTTTTTCCCTCCTAAAAGGCCGATGCTGCAACCAGTTTCCTGAGAGCTGCGAGATCCGGGAACCTGGACAAAGCCCTGGACCACCTCAGGAATGGGGTAGATATTAACACGTGCAACCAGGTAGGTGAAGCCCGCGGGGGCTCCGCGCTAGCCCGTGTGCGTCTGGGCTGCGCTGCGGCTGGTGGCCGCATCCCTCCTTGGCGCCCTGGTCCTGCGAGGACGCGCAGAGCGGGTGGCAGTGCAGGGAGCAGCACAAGGTCTAGGATGCAGTGGGATTCATCCGGGGGGCTGTTCCCTTGGCTTGCAGGGGTTTTGCTGCAGGTGGGACGTGTTTGCAGACGGGGGAGGCTCCGGCTCAGGAGGGCACACGGGCTGGCTGCTTTAGGAGCACAAGCGACGCCACCAGCGGAGCCCAAATGTCCCTTCACCTCCCTCAGCACCCAGCCCTGCAGCCAGGCAGGGTCTGTTCCGGCTGATGG